TGTGTGTTAGAAGTGGTCAAAATTGTATGTGTCCTGGCATGAGGATGGTAAAATGGTATGCCATATGACAATCTGCAGCCTTCTATATTACGTTTCACTTGGACCGGAGGCAAACTCAGAGAAAATAACCATTTTTAAACTTAATTGTTGTTTCAGCACAGTTTTTCCAACATGCTAAGCTGGAGAATCCACCAAAACAAGTTCAATCTGTATCAATTTTAAGGTCTTAAGACCTTTGTGATATAGATTTTTAATGCTTAGGCGTCTGGGTCTGAACACATCATCTTGTCACTCCATGCACTAGCCCTAGGCTGTGTAAGAGGAAGCTATCAATAGCTGGTCAGGAAACATTTGTGTGTGTTTTTTAGCAAAGCCTGAAGACTGACAAATGTTTCTGTTCTGATGATGTGTTCTTTTTAGTAAGCCTGTTGGTTACAAAGGAAAAATTAACTTGGAAAACTCACACAGGCTAGCTTTATTATTATTTGTATTAGTCAAAAATCAAATGTCTAACAAATTAAAATCCAGCAGATAAACACTGTTTGAAACTTAAGCATCACTATACATATATGAATCTACACAAGAGTGATTTTTCCATGTTACATAATCACTATGAGCAAGCTTCCGTGCACATACCACATGCTGACACTTTCATTTCAACAAACCGCCCTGTCAGAATACTATATCATTATTAAATCACCTTTCCTTGAATGCATCTCCCTCTTTCTTTCTCAGTCTTTGAACCTCTCCCAGCTCTTTTCAACTGTATAGTTCCTGCAGTGATATTAATCTTGTCAGAATCAGGAATAAGTAAAGGAATAAGTAATAAGTTAAAAATGTTCGTCATATTTGGAGTTGTCTTTGAGGCCGCAAATATACTGGCTGACTAACATGTTAAAGACATCTTTATTTAAAAATATAAATGACAGTTAACGTCACTGTTTAGCTGGCAGCACCTCCAGTCTTCACAGTGTGCACATCCAAACACAACAGCTCGATACCAGTCAGGCGTGATGCTACAGTTATTTGGCACCATCTAGTGACCATTTTTATCTATCACGATTATCTTGGGAAGAGTAATGATTTTCTGATCTGCACACAAGTCCTGATGCACATCTGTTTCTACCATTAAAAACACAGAAAAAATGAAGATGAAAATATTTCTAACAAGTTTCTCGTAATAAAGTTTGTCATACCTGATTCCCTTTCATACAGCTGCCAGTGTGCATTAGCATAAAAAAAGATCTTTTGGATGAAATAATAAAAAAAATATATATATATATATATATATATATGCCTAAAATTTTGATTTTAAGCAGTCTGATCACTTGAAATATTTCCATGTAAATTTGTTCCCTAAGCACAATGTAAAACATTAAATCTCATCAAATCTGGTCAAATGAAATTTACTCAGCTGGTATACAGTGCCAAGCATATTTTGCTTAATGATCAATTATTTTAATAAATAAACCTCTATTTTATATATTTAAAATGCATTTAACTTGCACAGAATTATAACTGTTCTGCTTGACAGATATCATGCTGGAAGGCTTAAAATGTAACCATAAATATGCATCTCAGCTAGCATTTTACAGCAAAGAAGGAAGTGAGATCTTCAAATGAAAGTGCAGCAAATTCAGTGTAGTACGGTACCACAGTTAGAGACGCACATTTTACCCACACTTTTAAAGGGAACTTATCTAAAGTGTTGAATACACAAAGGTTTCTATGAAAACTTTGCCACTGGCTCAGCATGCAGGAGAACTTCATGTAATTGCGTTTTTTTGGGGGTTTTTTTTGTTACACAACACATCTTGTGAGTTAACTCTCATTTTATGTGCATGAGCTTTCTTCTTAGCAAAGAAACAGATGTCTTCTAATTCAATTACTTATCCTTTGTGTTAAGTCATTTATCAAAAAGAGTTTAAGGCCCACTCAAGCCTTGGCGAGTGTTTCAGCAGACATTATCTACAATAAAAACGCACAAGATTTCAACCTCCTCAAAGTAAGCAGCTCTTATCTCTGTATTTCTTAACAACAACCCTAGATAGTTGTGTACAACTGAAGCTTTAATGAACTTGTGGGCTTGTCCTAGTCAATGTCTGTTCTGTTCTTGTTTAATTTTATAAAGAAAAATGTCCGTGATGAACTAAAACTAAAACCTTAAGACTGCACTGCATATATCTGACCCCAAAACACTTGTTTGCTAAATGAAACATTTTTAAATATTCAAAGAGTGTGTGAAATGCCCCCAACAGTAATGCAACTGGTTGAAGATCTGACTGCACTGACCTGTTCTAAAATAATGCTGACAGGTAGGCAAGAAAACCTCTCCCTGTTATATTTTGATAACATGGTGCTTTACAGTATTTCTCCAAGGGCCACATGAGATCAAGACATACAGTATTGTGACAGGTCAATTAATTTCATCTACTTCAGCAGAAAATCCTTAACAATATCAAGGCTCAACTAAACCACTGTAGGTACAGATTAGGCAGGAAAGACACCGGTGAAGAGGCACTTAGCTTTAAGAACTAGCGTGATCCCAGCATCATTCAAACAGTGGGGCTGTTTTGTGGCAAAGGATCTGTGCGGACAGTTTGATCATTAAACTCAAGTCCTTATTTTTTAAAGTTTTTTAGTCATATCTGAAACCTTGATATTAACGATTGTGAACTTCCTCTGGAGGTGTCAGTACCAGCGCTGTAATCTTGAATCAACGGCCAAACACGACAGCCCTTCAGATTAAATATTTGCGTTCATTTAGCCAGATGAGTTTGTAGATTATCTGCTCTAAATGCAAATAACAAGCTGCTGATCAAGTTTTTCCTCTTTATGACTTAACTAATCAGGAAATCAGGGACTGAAAAAAATTATATCAGACATATACTGCCCTAAATTATATAATCCAATGCATGCCATTTCTGCATAAATAACAATTTATCTATTTTTATATTTAGCTGGTATTTCTGACCTTAATATTTAAGATGATTTGTGGCTGAAATCTGAATAGAAGCCATTAGCTTATCAGCATACCACACCATCGATCAAATAAGTAGCCACAGACAAGTAGCTCTCCTGCAACAAGTTAATTAATATGCCCAATGTTCACAGAGCTAAGAAAACCAGATCAAACATCACTGGATTAACCAAGACAACAAAAAAGTGGTAGCATTGTATGCAACACACTGATACTTTTAGTGACCTTTTGCAGTTGTCTTCTAAATTGCTAACTGTTTCTCTACACTGTTATTATTATTATTTTTTAATATCTGTATTTAGTGTGGGGCAGCATGGTGGCACAACAAAAATGTCCTGGGTTGGTTCAAATCCACCCTGGGGTCGGGGTCTTTAAGTGTAGAGTTTGGACGTTCTCCCAGTGTCTGCATGGGTTCTCTCCAGGTGCTCCGGGTTCCTCCCACAGTCCAAACACATGCATTCAGTGGGGTTACGTTAACTGGTGATTCTAAATTGGGCCATAGGTATGAATTTAATTATGAATGGTTGTCTGTCTCTATGTGTTAGCTCTGCTACAGACTGGCGACCTGTCCTGGGTGTACTCTGCCTCTCGTCCTATGGCAGCTGGGATTAATGAATTGATGACTGATGGATGGGATGAATTCAGTGTCCTCCTGCATTTACAGATCCCAAATCTATAAATATTTTTGTTACTTTTTTAAAATCCCAGATACTTTCCTATTCAGACCAAGTCTTTATCTTTGCACTACTTCCAAGCACTTTGCAACTTGTTCTCTAATGTGTGCATTTCTATTGTTTCTGTATATATTTCTCTTGTTTTGTATATATTTGTATTGTTTGCTATTAATTCCTGCTGTCTACTACTATTTATATTTTATTCCGGCACAGTTGGTGTGAAGCACCCACAATTTTGTTGTACATGTACAATTACAATAAAGGCCTATTCTATTCTATTCTTCATCAACCTCTTCAGTGTCTTCACATCAACAACAAGCTTCGCAGTGGCTTAATCCTGCTCATGTGTCTAAGCCAAACAATGAAAACTCCAGGGTCATTGCTCTGTAACAACCAACCCTGGCCTATCTAACCTCCACTGATCTCTGATTTCTTGACACTGACTTTTGTGAATACCAGAGAGAATCAGAGCTTCTTAATATTTCTCCTCAGTATGCAGTTAGAAAACATGAATGACACATGCATGGATAATCCAAGGTCAATATCAGTTCTAAAGTGAATCCAGTGGAGGTCACTGTTGTGTGGGAGCTGGTCCTCATGTGTCACCTCAGGGCAGAATTTTACCAACACAAACTCCTGAGTATGAGCTGACCTCAGAGTAACCTTCTTGGATCCAGATGTAAGCGTGTTGCAGAGGCAGAGGTGAATACAGGATTCCCGTCTGCATAATGCAGGACAGCCTCCAGTTGAGAAGGCACTGCAGCAGCAGCCCCACACCTCACATCACATGCACGTTGCATACAGGGAGATACTGGAGTGGGCGTGGTAACAGGCGGGGGGCGGGACTTTAAGGGCCGCAAAAGCCCACCCCCTGAGCTTCTTAAATATTCAATTAGCTCCGAGCAGAGAGGCAGGCATCAGCACAGGGGGAAACTTGACGGCAAGAAGACGCGGTTCATTCATTTTTGGAGCAGCGGGACTGCTTCATGGAGACACTAGCACTCCTGTTGTGTTCCCGGAGAGTTGTTTCACTCTCTCCGGCCTGCCGTTAAACTTTTCACGGCCGTAACACCATGGACCCGCTGTGGACGGGCACCGGCGCTTCGGTACGGCATGCAAATACGTACTCTGACGTCGGCGATCATGTGGCTTTTGGCGTAGATCCTCCTTGTGATCGCCAATTTTTTCTTTCCTGTCGCCTGTTGTCTGCTCGGTTATCGAGCCGCCGAGAGAGTGTTTGAAACAGATTCGGCGTGTTTGTCGGCTCTCCAGCGGCTCTGGGATTGTACCGCACTACCTGAGCGTCGCGCCAAAACGGTGGGCAGGTAAGAAATGGAGAAACTCTTCTTCGTGTTTTTTTCTCTCTCCCTCATCTCCCTCCTTCTCCCCACGGCTCCCCCCTCGAAAAGTCTCTCAAGTTAAAACTGCGTGTAGTTGTTTGTTTGCGCCCCTCTCGCGGCTCGTTCGGGCTTAGCGTGGTTCCCAAAACACCCACGCGCCTCTGGATAAATATTTTAACTTGTCTGGCCGCGTGAACTTTGCCTGCCCCTGCCGTTTCCACCTGCGTGCTCTCGCAACGTTTCCCGACAACTTCTTAATTGGACGTTTTCGCCTCCTCCGCGTTTCAAGTTGTGTGTTCGGTGTGTTGTGTGACCGTGGCGGGGGAAGGCAGACGGGAGGAACATCGTGCCTACTTTTCCTCCTCCCCGTGTCGACATAACCAGCAAAACATGGCCGTCCTTTGCCGACATGTTGTTACGTCGATGGCGAGAGGGGGAACATTTGGGGAGAGTATTTTTTTCCCTCCCTGCGCCCCTCTGTCACGTTTTCGGGCTGGCCAGAGGAAACAACCGTTGGGACTCCTTACCAGCGGCGTGCACCAGCTCGCATTCAGGCGTGCTGAGGTTTGAGTGTAACTTTTGGAGTCCGACGTTGTTTATAGACTTTGATTCGTGCGTCTCTGCGATGTAGGCGTAACGTTACCCCTGGTGATGCCTCCTCCCCTCCCGAGACCGCGGTTCTTACTGCAGGCAGGCAGTGCTGTTGCAGTGGGTCTGAAACTGCTGTAAAAGCCAGGCGTGGTTCTCTTTTATTAATAATATGAAGTTTGGTCATGAGGCCCGTGGCCCAAACTGTGAGCAGCCTCTGTAGCACTCAGCTGGGGTCAGTGCTCTCTGTCCACCAGTACGTTTTTGGAAGTAACCTGCGTGTACACACTGAGGTGACACAATGCCCAAGCACAAATGTTGCCTAGTTATACATTTAGGATGTTTCCTATATTAATCGTTGTTTATTTATTTTTACACATAACAGTGCATACAGATCTGGCTCTGTCATCTTTATTACTGGATAAATACTCATTATGAACATTTGAGGTGCTTTAGGAGAGTTGGGTGATACCTCAGTCTGGCACTAAATTTCTTTACCAGCTATGCAGTAAAATGCAGTGCTGTTGGCTCTGTTAGCGCTTCATTCATGTGGGCAGTCATCATTATTATTTTCCATGCAGCACATGGGAAAAATCATTAATGTGGGTGACTGTTAAATGTTCTTATTTACCAAATAACAGACCGAGGTGTTTGTGTGTGTAATAAGGAAAATTAATGGTGACATTCAGTTACAGCATTCTGCAGCAACTGCCAGTGGCACTTGTGGTTTGATTATCAGTGCGCAGATTAAATATAAAGCCACACTGCAAATACTGTCTATAATAATTAAAAGTGCATGTACAGTAGTATACAGTCGGCATGGTCACTCCCTACAAGTGAAAAAACTAGTTGATTAAAAAAGAAAACATTCCCGCAATTGTCTGTCTGGTGTAAATTTTTAAAATGTGTTGTTCATTTCACGCTGTTCCCTCAGCTCTACGATGACCTGATGTTTTGTGTTTCTAGGCTTTCTCTGATCAACAGCGATTCCTCCCCTCCCACCCTCTTGTGTTAAAGATGTAAGTGATTTTGATCACGGTGCAGTTAACCCTCCTGTCAGCCGCGTTACCAGCAATTCCTCTGGGTATAAACTTGGGCTCCGCTCACTAAGCCACGCACCCTTGCTCTTTCTGTGTGAAGAGACATTTGGCTCGTGTTTTTGTTCTTCGCGTGGTTTTCCACTTGTGATCTGCCAAAATCAGAGAAGATGTTATGTAATTTGGAATGACAGCCGGATCGTTTTCATTGGTAGCTGAATAATCAGAGCGGATACCTTCTTTTCTGGATTAGAAGTACACAATCACATTTCGTTTTTTCTCTTTTCTTTTTTTAATCGTAATTTGCTTTATTGCAGAATGGTGTAGGGAGCGTTGCTGCCAAAATTAATAAGAAACCAGAAAATTTGCTCAACAAACAGTCTGTTACAAGCCAGTAAAATCGCTATTGCCATCTGAAGTCAGGTATATGGGACAACATTACTGATTTGTTTTTACAGTTTGGCAGATGTGTTTAATCCCGTGAGAAACAGTTTAATTTATTTATTTTTAAGGGATGTGTTCTCGGTATAGCTCTAGGGATTAGCGAAATGCACAGATGTCGGTGTCCTACCTTGTCCGATGCATCAGCCATCGGTCCACCATCACAACACTGTGGAGAATTTTAGCAAACAGACAATCATTGGGTTTATTTATTAAAGCGTTATGCTGCTATAGTTTTTAAAGAACTGGCATAAAAACAAATCTGCTCTTGTTTAAAAGCTGATTTTATTTATTCTCTCCTTCCTAGCTTCCTCAACAGTCTTTCTCAATGTACTGTGACCCCTTCGAATGTCACAGCCAAAACATCCAGCTGGGAAGTGAGCCGCTCTATTTGTTCCTAGAGGCGTTTTATTCGTTTGCTCTAGTCAGATGGTGGAAAATGAACAAGACTCAGTCTGTCACAGTTATTCAAATAACGAGGGGGGAAAAAAATCAGAGCATCAAGAATTGGTGTCAAATTATAACCGAGGAACTGAATGAAAACAAAAAGATCTTTCTGTTTGATTCACTCCCGACAGCCTGTACACAAGCTGTTCCAAATCAAAGCAAAGCCAAAAGGTGCGTTAACAGCGGGAAAAGTCAAGGCTGATGTTTTTGTTTATTTAAAATAAAAATAAAAAATTTCACACGCGCTGCAACCAAACTAGCTTTTAATCTTTCAACATTGTTTTTGTATTCTGACAATGAATTGAGCGCAGTCTGGTCAAATGTGACTTGTAGAGAGGACGTGTGATATCTCATTGTTGACAGTCATCAGGATTGGCACAGATGTTGTATGTGCCAATCATGCTAGCAATCTTGTGAGATTGTCAGAGTGCAAATAAGCTAATATGGAGCAGAAGACTAGCAGTTCAGTGGGGTTTTTTGTTGTTGTTTTTGTAATAGAGAAATTCTGTTTGTTTTGTTTGTTTTTTTTTTCGATAAATGAAAGTGGACAGGCAGCTTGAGGGTTTTTTTTTTTTTTTTTTTTTTTTTTTTTTTAAGGGTCTAAGCTTCCTTGAAGGCAGAGAATGACAGTAGGATTAGATAACATATTTGATCAGATTGAACTGTTCTTGGTTTTCGGATTGCTTTTCTCTTCCCAGTCCAGCTCTTGTGTAATTTGTCATACCTTCCCTTCCTCAAGTATGGTTGCTTGACAGCCACCCTTTCACTAAGACCATTCCTGATGAGACTTTAGTAAACAGTAGATGGCTCAACTGAAGCGTCGGATGCATCTGTGCATTTCATTACGTATTACATTTGCTGCCCTGGATGTTAGGCCTGCCACTTCTTTTATCCTCCAACAGAACACTACACGCCATGGAGAGACATGCAGGTTTTTGGCTAACAGCTCTTTGGGAATCACCTTGTTGGTGCAAAAATGTTATTTTGCACCTCTCAGACTTCTATCTTTGGCTTTTTTTTTTTTCTTTTTTTTTTAAGTTGTAAATTCAACTAAAGAAAGGACAGAATGATGTTTTTGTGACAGGCTGCTAGTAACAAAAGAAACCTATTAAAATTGGTTATTTGATAAGTCGTCTGTTATGTTTGCACACAATAGTTCATATATCTTGAGTTGGATGCCTACTGGAATTCATAGATCAGTGTTAAATCTCTTAACAAACAAAATATCCTCTGAAGCAAATGTGGTGAATCAAGACTTTTACACAGTACTATATATAATGTGTACTTTTAAAATATACTTTCTTTTCTGCTGTTGTCAGCATTTGAAGTAAGCAACAGGTTTCCACATTAACCCCGGGCAGATTGTTGTAGTTTGTTTAACTCAAACAATAATCTGAAGCACGATAACATCAGAGCCTGTTCAATTTACAGTGACAGTTTGGAGGGTGTAATGATGGGAAATTTGTGTTAAAAGGGGTCATTGCCATAATGTACGCTTAGTAGCTCGATGGGCGTCTGCTTGATTTTTTTTTTGATTTTTTGATTTTTTACACAGCCGTATGTTAACAGTGAACCATCAACCCACGTTGCTTGTTTTTTTTTTTTTTTTTTTTTTTTTTCCCTCCAGGTTTATGCATCCAGATAGAAATAATATAAACTGCATGTGAGTGCACAAGCATCAATTTATGGTCACACATTTTTGTGTTTGTCTTTAGCTCACGCTTGTATTCCACAATCTATGGCTGCTGTTTTTTAGAGACTAGCAGACCTGTCGTGGGTTTTTAACACAGACTTTTTTTTTCTTTTATACTAATTGGGAATGCATTTCCTGACCACACATCACATTTCCACATCAAACTGTGAGTCCTATAATGGCTGTCCATTCTCTTGGTGAAACACTGGAATGAGTCATCACGGGTTGGAGGATGGAGGTTGTTGCTGTCATCACGGCCTGTCGTGCTCAGCTTGGCACAGTACTGACATCACCAGCATCTACGCTGTGCTTTGTTCCAGTGTTTTCTCAGTTCAGGTCCTCCTCTCCGCTGTGCTTCCGCCGGCTTCTCAGACGTGTTGTTAGGTGACTAAGGCAACCACAGAGATGAGCTCATCACCTGTAGGTGGGGCTGAGAGGGAGGATGTGAGGAGACAACTTAGGGAAAACAAGAAATCAACACTTGTATTAGAGACGACTTGTGATGTCTGAGCTTGGTACACAAGAAGACGTTGGTTAGCACTTACCGTACTGAAAGTGATGCAGATGGACAACTGGAGCCAATGGAGACTTGAGCCTCACACGCATTTTAACCTGTAAAAGTAATTCTCCATGTTAGCATCAGGTCGATATTTCAGCGTAAAAGAGCTGCCATTCGTCAGCTCAGGACCTAGCTGAATTCCTTGAAATATTCCCCCACAGCAGAAACATTTCCAGGTAAAGCACACAAAAGGTCGCAGCGTTCTTAACCGCTGACAGTTTTACGTTTCCACTAAGGCAATCCCCATCTCTTAATGGATCACTTGATATGGTGTCGCCCGCTAGTTCTCTGGAAAATCTTATCGCCGAATAGGGGGTGGGTCACGGATAAGGAACTGAATGTACGTTTACAATGCTGGAAATTCAAACTGAATGAAGGGTGTCGAGGAGAAAACTGGTGACACGGAGAGAAAGAAGGGGTGACAAAGAAAAGAAAGGAGACACTAGAGTCAGAATGTCTAAGCAGTGTGAGAGAGAGAGAAACAAGAGACAGTCTAGCATTGAGACTGCAAGATAGGTGGGTGTGTGTGTGTGGGAGAAAACTGTACACTGGAACCCACCATTAATATCTGCAGTCAGTCATTTTATAAGCAGTGGATCATTGTATTTTATTAAAGTGCTCACTGCTTAATTGCCACATTGCTATTCACCAATAGGCTTAAATAATTCTTTTTTTTTTGTTGTGTAAGGATTTTACCCTCCTGTGTTCATCATCCATCAGCCAGTGGTCTTGTTTCTCACAGCTTCTGCAGCAGGGTCAAACTTAAAATAAGTTGTGCTGAACAAATCCACTGGTGAAATCTGAACTTAACAACCACCACATGGAAGTTAAACAAAAAAAAAGTTGGGTTTTATCTTCCTGCACACAGTCATGTAGACCATTTGTGCCTGAGGATGTGTACACACTGGCTTCCCTGCTACCATCAGGCTGTGTCCTCAAGAATTTCAAGTTTAAGGGAAAGGGAGAGGGTGCTTGGAGAAGAGGGAGCTTGCTAAAAGGCTTTCTGCACTGCACCATGTCAACCAGTGGAAACGCTCAGACACACCCCTTCTGCACAGTCGAGTCCAATGGGGAAAGGCTGGAGATCGTTTACAACATAAGCCACACCCACTGCAGGGAAGGCAGAGATTGACAGGTGGGAAATCCATCCGCACAGAGCATTGACTGCTCACCGAGGCTCGTGGCAAACACGAAACACTCCATTGCAAGGTAGTTTAGAGAAATGTGGAGGCAGAGTGTCCTCTGCATATTGAGGACATACTATATGCAAACATCACACCGCATTACGCTACAGTGCAATTTCACTTGGGGCAAACTTTGGACTAAAGCTTTAAAAATCCGTCTCATGTTCTGTTGTTGACCTGATTTGACCTTTGCCCTACTTAATTTGTGCCCTAAATATAACCGAATAATCACATTTTTGCCCTTCCTGGAGGGATCGGAAAAGCCTAATATAGTAAGGTTTGGCAAGTCGTTTAAGCTTTTAAAAGTGTGTGGAGTACAAGAGTTTTATCTGACAGGAGAGTGAAAAAAGAGTGCACAGCTGGGGTGGGTGTGGTTGCAGTGGATGAGTAGTGTGCAAAGAGGAACACAGAAGCAATTCGCCTAAACAAAAAAAAATGTTAATGAGATATATATTTTTAAACTTTTTTTTTCCATTTGTGGTTACCCAACACCACATGTGCTATCAATTCCTTACTTCTTGTAGTTGCTGTATCAAATGAGTGCTCAATGACATTTTGGCCCTCATCATTCGGGTCGCCAGGGAAACCTCATCAACGAGTGTTCATCACAATTGTTATAACATATGTTATAATGACAACAGTCCTATAAAATGACAGG